TCGTTTAATATAATATTGCCACTCGTATGAGTTCTATAAATATAAATGTAACGATACCGGCGAGAGCGTGAAACGTGAATTTTATTGTACCTGTGCCCTGGCCTGTTCCCCCACCAGGATGACGTCTCTCGTGGCGTCGTGTAATGGAATATCGGATATAAAAAGTCCTCGACCAGTCAGCCCTTCCAGGCCGTTCAGGAACGGCGAACTCACAAATAGGATGGAATCCGATTCCGGACAATGGACCATCTGACCTTTCATCTCTAAACCCTGGAATCGTTGAAATCCTATTAGTGGCATAGTTTTTGAAACTCGGACCAAGAAGGATAACGCAAAAAAGTAGGGGGGAATACGTTGCGTGAGTCCGCTTCAAAATCTAATCAGAGATCGTATCGATTTCCGTCAAAGTGGAAGCTCGATTTTCGATCTCGTGCATTGATATAATACAATTCGACAAACGTCAGTTACGTAACAGCGTAACAATTGTTCCAATTTCCATAGGAATAGCATATTGTAGCTCAGTGAAATACCTCGGCGGGATATTTATCGACGCCCAGCGGTCTCTGGAGGGTGAGGACAAAAGGTGTGTTCGCGTGTTTCAGTATCTCGTGGAAAGTTAATGTGACTCCGCGCGGCCGTGTAAAAGCGAAGTACGTCGATATTTCTCTGCCCAATCGGTTCAGATGGTGCCCGAAGATCCTCATAAATCCGACGCCAAGCTGCACAAGCTCTAATTGCCGGTCGACCACGAAATGCCATGGAAAGGCTTTGCAGAAGCTTGCTACCCCCATACGTAGGTCCGTGGCTTCGGTCGACAGTGGACGGAATAGGGACGTAACCGTGTCGAGATTATCGCCGATCTCCGGATCGACCACCAAATGTTCGCTATAGCGCTCTGGAGTGATGCGATACCTGCGAAACAGTTCATTGAACATTATTACGCGTACAGGATATACGCGTACAGGGGTGGCTTCGTTCGGTTAAACGTGCAGAGCCTAATCGTCTGCTGTTCAACGTTTCAAGTTCTAATACTTCAAATTTCCAAACAGTCAGACACTAGATATTTGTATAGTACAACAGTTAGTAACAGACGTACAATACAATGCATCGCCTTGAGATTTTGTAATTTGTTCCACTGATTTGAAATCCTTTTGATTCCAAATTTCGAAGCGAGACAACGCGAAAGCCAAATCAACGTCGATCTCAATCTTTCGGGCGTATTAATCAATCTCCGAATCCGGCCTGGCGTTCACATCGCGTGGCAATCGATTTTCCCCGCGGGAAGCGTTTAATTAAAACGAAACTATTCCAAGCTAATTATGGAGCTGGCCATTCGGACTATTTGGACAATGCGTTCCCTCGTTACAAGTAACTAGAGACAGATTTACAACTCGACGAATTCTTTTTCTACACTACGGCGTGTACTGTGTAATGAAGTTCTTGATACGCGGCCGCTCTCGGGTTTAAATGTCTGCAAACATTAGCGATCAATATTTGTCCACTTCGTGGTGACGCGATTCCTAGGACTCTTTCACCGTCCTCGTGTAAATTGAGTGATACGATGTCAACGAGCATACGCTGGTTGCCAATCGAACTAACAAATACTAAATATTGTTCTTCTTTTCACTGTAACATCGGCGTGGCATTATTCGGACACTCAAGTGCACCGGCGATCAATAAATCGCAAATTGCGGCCGTGCACGTACAGGATTTCAAACAACGTTACCCCATCGAATCTGGAATGGATGGTCGCGAAGCACGAGTACAAACGAATGAAACCGTTTTCCTTCGATTAAATCTCTTTGTCTCTCTTTCCGCGACTACGTGGCTACTCCGCTTGTACGCGCGTGGACACAGAGACTTTATTAAAATTACGCGAAACAAAGAAAAAAGAAATTCGTTCTTCGACCAACCTTCTTAGTGTAAAACCTTTCTTAAAAGGAAAAGGAGAAGGAAAATTCGAAGGATTCGAAAATAACTTACCTAAAAAATTTGTTACTGTAGGGATCGGGTAGAATATGTACTGTGGCATCGTCGTTGTAAAACTGTCTGGCGATGCCTTTCAAGCTGCCGACCAGCAGATAGGCAGCAGACGGGTGGTCAGTGGTGAAATGCAGCTCGATCGCTTCCGGCGTGGCGATGCATACGAACTCGGCCTCTGCCTCGGAGCCGGACTGGTGTTGCACGACGTCGTTCACGCCGTCGAGAGTGGTCAGGAAGGCCGTCAGATCGTTCCCGAGGCAACGGAACGCTCTCTCGAGCAGACCCACGCAAGCCGTGTAAATCAGCTCCTGGCCGAGGTGATCGAAAAACGTCCACACCACGTCCACGTCTGCGAAAGGTTTGCTGAATTAGCTTCGACCTTCGTTACGCGACCTTTTTCGGGGGTCGATCGCGACTCTCGGCGCCCCGTCGAACGATCGAGCTTACGCTTGATTCCTCGTGGAATCGACCTTTCTCAACTTCTCGAGAGAGAGAGAGAGAGAGAGGGGGGGCCGAAGAGCAATGCTCGTTCAAATGACTCGAACCTAGCTGACCTAGCTGCTTTACATTTGAACAGGTTTCGCACTATGTGGGTCAGGAGTGACCCACGATATACTGATACTTACCGTTAGATGTTCCTTCGGATCGATGCAGCGACGTGGATGTAATTGGATCGTTCTGATTGGTCCCCCCTTGGAACTTTGGAAATCGTAGGTTTTATAGGATTCGGACAACGCGAAAGTTCCAGGTGCAAGCGAACGAGTGCAAAGAGAGGGGAAAAGTGTGTTTGAAGTTAAATTGGGAAAGTAGTACGCGACTGGATGAAACTACAGGGTTTGTTGTGTTGAACATTTAAATGCAGCGTCGAAAACGATGAAAAATAACGCGAATATTCGGAAGTACGTGACTATTCGGAGTTTTGATTGGTTTTTTGGTTTGTATGAATATTTCATCGTGTGTATGTGTGTGAACAGATCGTTGTTTATTGACAATATTTCACGACGAATGAACGCTGCATTTAGTTCTTTCTCAACGAAGAAGAATCGATAAATCGCTGTCAATTAATTTTTACGCTGCAATTAGTACCTCGTAGAATGCGATTCTTATCTGTTACGTTGCTTCGACTATTCGAAGGTGATTTGTTTGTAATGCGCGATATCAGATTTAATCTGGAAACTGGGCTAGAAGGAGTGGCTAGACGATAATCCGAATTATCTTCTGAGCACATTCGTAGAAACTTTCCTCGTCTTCGCCAGCAATAAAAACTGCTCGTAGCAAACAATCGGCACTCTCGATTTATCGATACTCTCGTTCTTTCAACCAATCACCAAACACCTCCGCAATTACTTCTTTCGCAGAAGCGAAAACCCACGTTCCATTGTGTGAACGTCACTCGACTGAATTCACGACATCTAACAAGTTTCCACGGACATCGTGGCTGTAATTTCTCTTGCGCAGAAAAGCGCATTCGTCTCTTGAAATTCTCCTCGACTGCTTCCCAGTTTTCTTTCAAGCAAGCTGACCCGATTTCGTTAATTACTTGTCTATTGTACTACTCAAGCGGTCCAACGGAATCTGTAACGTCTCATTTGCACAACGTGGAGATCCAATGGAGATTTCAAGGAATAGACCGCGACTTTGCGACAGTTCGTAATTTCTTTCGCTGACAGATCATTATAAAAACGCGCTTTGTACGAAATATTGGCGGTCTAGTCGCTAGAGTTAATATTTCTTCGTGCTCGGGAAGTCCGATATTTCTCAATAGATAGGACAATTAAAAAAAAAAAAAAAGAAGAAGAAAACAAGCAGACAGAAAATCAGCGTGCGGAGAGTGGATTTCTCGTCCCACTGAGATATTCCTCGCAGCGGCCCTCTCTACGACCGTAATTTCGCTGACGAGGCGACCAGCGGCGAATTACTCGAACCTCTCCCCGTACCCCCGTGGTAAAGACCGAAACGAGCAAAAAAAAAAAAAGGAAGAGAGAGAAAAAAAAGAAAGAAAAAACAAATAAAAATTCCGATCGTTACACGCCGAGTGCTTCCAATCTCTGACGATTTTGTTTCGCCAAGCGCTCCGTCCTTTATTGTAATTCCAGCTTTCAGATGAATTTTTTAGCTAGATCGAATTCGGATAACTTCTTGATTGAACGAGTCGTCGCGGGATTGATACGAATAAAAGGCAGACGGATCGACGCGAACTGAACAAAATCTACTCTGTCATACAAGTAGTAATTGTTAATCTCAAAGACACAAGCGGAGATATTTTCTCGTCGAGAGCGATTTCGATCTCTCGATTGGCCACTCCAGGGATCACGATTCTTGCTTGTCAATTACATCGAAGTGCACGAAGAATCCCTCTCGTATTCCAAGAGCTTTGGACATTGGCAATATCCAGATATATTTCGTACAGATGTATTCTACCATTTGTCCTCTGCAAGTACAAAGAGACTCGATCGAGCAGTCGAACTGGCAAATTCGAACCTCTTGGTTGAATTATTAAATTTCACGTCAAACTCTGTTTCCATCGTCGCTACATTTCAATAACGCGTGTCAAAGTGATCGAGGTAGAGTTTCAAGTTCCTTTTGCAATTGAGTCCACCCTCCACAGGAAGACTCGACCCTCTAACCTGTTATCTCGAAAATAGTTCGTATCATGCGTCTGGTCACTTTCATTCTTCTTTCATTCTTTCTCTGTTGAGAAAAGCAAATTCCTCCGAAAAAGGAAAGTCAACGGCGTGCAACGTTGAAGCATGACGCGGGGTCGCGCGGTCGATAAACGGCCGTTCGATTTCTATCGAGCCTTCGTGCTAAAGCGGCGTGGTTGGCTCGCCTTGCAAATCCGGAAATCGAGACGACCCGGGCCGTGAGTTAGATCTAATGGCCTCGCGTATTATTTCTCACCGAATGTCACTGGCAGCGCGCGATAATCAATAGCGGTCATTGACCGCCTCGATGTATAATATACGCACAGGCAATCGTCTGGAACGCCAATCGCGTGATGCTTCTGCAACAGCCTGCCAAATCGGCCAGCTAAGCTTGACAAATCGATGTCCCGTTGCTAGTCAGAGGCTCGAGGCAGTCGATTACAACGAAATCTGCTGCAGCAGTAAACATATTCAAGACAAGCGAGGCAAACAAGCATCTGTGATCTGAGTGCTTCGTTTGCAAGTGTAAACTGACGTGCTCAGGATGTCACAGGAACAAATGGTACAAAACCTCGAATCCATTAAGGGCTGAGCAAACAATTTACATTCTCCTAAATGTTGGAATTAATGTACACGCGCGGCATTCTCGTGGGAAATTATATAACAATGGTGGAACCAAAGTTCTTCCGAATAAATACAGATCCGCTGTTTCTTCTTTCTGGAAGCAATGTACGTGTATCACTTCCCACAGAGTCCCTCGATTCGCTCCGAGGTCTAACCTGAATCAACTCGACCTCACGAGGCAATATCATAAATGTCCTTGCTGAATGAACACCGAATTTATCACGTTATAAATACGAATATCTTCCGAAGTGCGCATTTCTTTTCGAATTTTACGCAGGCTAAAATACGATTCGATCGCAATTTTACATGTCGAAAACCCTTTGATGTACTTCCACGAAAACTTTGATAAAACTTTGTAGGTTTGTGGACAGGTGGACGCGTTGGCACAATTAATTCAGATTACTCTCGATCGTTCAACATTGAGCAACATCGTTGAAACGTTAAATTTGCGTTTCGAAAGATAGAAATATGAATTCCAGCGAGTTGGAAGAGAGTTCATTGGAGCTAGAGTTTTGTGCAGATATACTGGGGCTGATACGATGCCGATCGATCGAACGCTGCAGTGTGACTTGAATTCTCACGCTTCTTTAAGGATTACTTATTTTGAGGGAGAAAGTGCAAGCGATGGATAAAATCTGGTTTACAGGTTTCAGTTTTTGTTCCCGTTTCCTAGAAAATAGCGGCTGATCTAGTTTTTTACCAAGGTAAAAGATGGCTTCTCCCTTTCGGCTGAGGAGATGCCATCAACTCGTGTCTCGAGGAGAAATCAGGGAGAAATCAGGCCAGTTTCGTGAAAAATTCGAGAGAAACCATTTTCGACACACACACACACACA